AATCGACATGATCTGCCCAAAAGTACCGAAAACCCTTTCTCCTACCATAGCAGCACCACCTATAACCTTTTTCCAGGGTCTGCTTAACTCCCATACACTCCCAACTGAGTGGAAAAATGGAATTATCACGGCCATATACAAAGGAGGTCAGCGATCAGATTCTGCCAACTACCGACCTATTACTCTCCTTCCTGTTTTATCAAAACTGATGGAATCGATGATCGCTGATAAACTGACGCGATACTTTGAAAGTCAACAAATAACTTCTAATGCCAAACATGCTTTCAGACGCAGACGATTTCGTCTCACCAGTTTACTCATTACTCGAGACTCATGGACCGTGACGGCTGATGAAGGAGTCCCCATAGATGTGATTTACTTGGATTTTTCTAATGCATTCGATAGGGTCAATCACTTCTTTCTCCTCCGAAAGCTTGCTGCCTAGGGTAGCAAGGGTTCCCTGCACACCTGGTTGGAATACTACTTACACGACAGAGCAATCAATGTAAGAGTAGCCGACACTTACGCTGCAAGCCTGTGCGTCTCCAGTGGTGTACCACAAGGATCCGTCTTCGGCCCGCTACCGTTTTTAGTCTACATTAATCAGCTTCCGGCAGACATTCTGTCTCCGATGCAAATATTTGCAGACGATGCTAAAATATGGAGAGCAAATCGCTCAGCTTCCGACCGTGTCTACCTCCAGGAAGATCTGACTCGAATTAACGAATGGACGGAAAGGAACCAACCTCACTGAACCCTGCAAAGTGCCACATGCGGACAGTGCGCAGCAGCTTTGTCAACACATACCTTTTGGGGCAACACGTCCTGCAACACGTGGCTAGTGAACGTGACTTAGGTATATTTGTGCAAGAGAGTCTTGGAAATTCGCTCCAATGTTCGAAAGCAGCACGTGTGGCGAACTTGAACTTGAGACTTTTGAGGCGAGCTCTCCGCACCTTTGAGCGACGGTTGCTACCAAAGCTGATTAACTACTATATTCGCCCTCATGTTGAATCTACAATTCAGGCTTGGTGTCCATGGGTAAAACGAGACATTCGTCTATTGGAAAAACTCCAAAGAAGAGCCGCTAAGGTAACGCGTGGACTATCCGGTCTAAGTTACGAACTGCGTCTTCGTGTACTCGGTGTGTTCTCATTAGAATACCGACAGCTTCGCGGAGATCTTACTCTCACATACCAGATACTAACTGAAAGCGAGCATCCATGTACACCACTGTTGACTCTAGCCCCTTACAACAAAGCCGAGGCAATCACCGGAAATTAATGACGCAACACTCCCGTCTGAATTACAGAAAGTAGTTTTACTCACTTACAATCTGTTTTCACTGGAATGCATTACCAAGATATATGGTGAACGCATCAGACATGGCGACATTCGAAAGACTCTCAGACTTTCATCTTAGTGATAAATGCTACACAACAGTTTGCTAAAGTGCAATGATTTAACCACTGATACTTTACGTTCCACGTTGGAACATTTTGATTTTAATTTTCTTTTGCGTATCCATCCTGTGGGTCTTGTAAACTTATACTTTTTATCCCATCATACACTGTTGAACTGTGGGTGGTGCAGCGCAAGCCACGCATGGTTCCTTTGTAGGCGCATGTATCCTGTGGCTGTTCTATGGAGGCCGCAGTCACAAGCAAATCGGGAACCGGATGTCACCAACCATACAAAGAATGTAATTTGAAAGCGTTACAGCCTAAGTCGAGTAGTCTTACGGAGGAAGATGGAGATCAGTTTGACTGTATTATGGGTGCAAATTGCTGGGAAAAGGTGCAGAAACCATTATTCTAACGCTAAGACAAGTCGAAAGTAGCCATTTCGTTTCCAGATGATTCAAGACAGGTACGTGATCCATGAACCTACCAGAGTGCGATGTGTATATACATTAATCTGCCTTTGTTGTTGGACCGGATTTTTAGAAATCAGGCGTTGTTGGCTTGACCCATAATTTTCAAACCAGTTATACCGCCTCAGTAGTTTTTCCTTCAGCACGCCTTTATGTGGACTTTGTTGACTTTAGGCTGGAGTAAAAAGCTGGCTGGAGACCAGATGTTTTTCACTCGGATTCGCACAGGAAATGACAGATTTAAAGGGGAGGGAGATCAGTATGATGCTCCGTGTATCTATCGATTCTCCCCAGAGTCAGTGAGCTGTCTGAATAACAAGATTTACACGCAACAGACTTAGGTCCCTTTGTAGATAAATAGGTATATTTCATGGCAACTGGGGTACATTTCAAATACGGGAAATGATCATTTGTACAAGATGGTAATATCATATATATATATATATATATATATATATATATATATATATAATACACAATCTGTGGTACAGATATTGTGCCATCGGAATCATGGCTGAATAGGAAAACAATATGAATAATAAGAAAAGAGCAACAAGAAATGTTTTTTTTGTCAAGTTTACCACTCACAGTTTTTGAAATTTTTCTTCAGTTTGTTCTTTTTTAGGGGGAGGAAGAAGGGACACCGCAACACACTGATGCACACGTCCACCATTGACATCGATCTTGAGCCATAACTTCCAAGGTTTTCAACCAGCAAGTATCCTCATCTCTCGGACCCCAACCAGGTAGTTGACAACAACCGGCCGAGGCCAATTGTTTCGTCATATCATCATTGCACGTGATTCGTCGGTAGTGGCAGTTGATAAATATAAACCAGGAGGTACTTCTCTGCAGTTGAACTAGCTAAGGGGAAACTAACTGTATGATCGCAACAATGGAATAGGATCATCGGAGCTATATGCCTTGATTTTCTTCAGTAGTGATACGTTGCAGCTCATTAGTTTGATAAAAGGAAACGTGACACTCGCATCCAAAGCTGGTTTAGGTGATCAGACAGTCAATTATTGTAGTAACGAGTAGGTTGTTATTCGAAGTGTCCCACTCAAATATAGCACAAAGAGATCTATGATTAATTTACTCATCTATTGTTTTGACAATTGATATTTTATCATTGAGGTCTTCTTGCACCTACGCATTAAATTAGAGCACGGTTTTTCAGCTCTTCCCTATGGATCAAACTATCGCTACTTGACCAATCGTAGCGTTTGCCACCGGCATCGATGTATCACATGACCCAGATAATCACTGTTTCGGAACACTGCGGACACTGGAATTAATTCCTTAGTCAACGTACACCACCCGTTTCTACTCAATCAGACAACGCCTCATGCTGCTTCCTCGCGGCGCATTAGAAGTGAGCCAATCATCATCCGCCTTATCTATCTTGTTCGCCAGCAGCAACGATATCGAATACCGAATGATTGAATTGCATCGATTAACTTAAGTTAGGTGAACGAGTAGGGAGCTTCGAAGCTGGTCGTTTCGCTGAGGTTTTATGAGTGAGCACCACATGAGTGCACACTAAACTATGGTCAAGATACAGTTACGTCATTCAAATCGACTGATGGCCCATGGTGTTGATAAGCGCACGCAGTCGCCGCTGACATTATGGTGAGTCACCCGTGGACATCAGACGACACGATGCAGAGTTATATACTGGAAGGCTGCATCGCTGCCACGAAGACTGCAGGAAGCAACTTAAGTCACGGATGATGGCGGCGGACCGCAATACCTGGCTACCAGCTGTGATCTAGTGCGGCTTATTCTCCACTGTCATGAACGTGCAGAAGGTAAGACCGCCCTCCAAAGTCAAAACTTCCTTTACAAGCTGCTACCAATGCAGGTCGCATGTAACTGATGAAGTGATTACCGATTGGCAGAGGGAGAACACTTTCAAAACACGCATGGCAGTGGGGTAGGAGCCGTGTGATATCGCAGCTAGTAATCAGATATGGCGGACGGCCATCGTCCTTCATGGCCGGTGACGCTGAATCATGAGAGTAAGACCCGTGGATTCGGATTTATCACGATGCGGCGATTACACGCAATTAACTAGTACCGACGAGAAAAATCGACCGCCTAGCGCTTCTGCGGACGTGTGGTGGTTGTCAGACTGAGTTTTATTACGAAGAAACCTTCCAAAAACTTCAGTTGTCACGTGGTCCCATAAATCGATAAGTGTTTATTAAGAACACCGACCTCAAGATAACTCCGATGTCTTCCGAAGTTAGACAAGCAGAGCATTTGGTCATTCATGTCACCTGCAAAGACTACAATAGCTGCATTACCGCGCTTACAGATAAGTGATGAGGACAGTATACATCATTTGATTTTGGGGACTGCATGTGGAAGTGGCGTACACCGAAACGATTGAAGCTTTCTGACGCTACATACTTTGAAGGCTGGAATAGCACAAGAGCAACCGTTCAGTAAAATCCAGTCAAAATTTGTTTAATTGCTACCTACAAGAACCTCGCATCATACAGTCACTGAGCTTTGAGTGAACTTTGGCTGCAACGCGAAGAACATAGTTATTACCACCGGAGACCGAAGCAGTTAGTCGAACACACGCAACGACGCTGCTGTCTTGTACTGGTGCACTCGAGACAGCGCAGTTCAGTGCTGTGTGAGAGCAGCATAGCAATTGGCTGACTAACGTTGAGCCTAAAACGTCGGGCAACCGAATGTGAAATGGCACTTTCGCCGTGAAACGCCATCTGCTTCGCATTAGTGTGACTGATGAAGTCCGATGTGGACTGCTGATTGTTCTGAGAAAGTGCAAGTGGTAGAGGATGAGAGGCAGAAAAGAAAGGTGACAACGGAGGTTTGTCGGTGGGTGCTATATTTTACTGCACATTTGAAGAGGAGTTGTTAAGAAAATCCGATTTACAGCCACAATGGAGAGCAAGATCAGTTCAGGAATGAGTGAGGAATCTTTAAGGAGTTTACTTGGAGCAGGTTAGACTCGTGGATGATTTCGATCGTCATATAATACACCTATAACTATGATTAATAGATATGTTGACACCGTACGAGGCGATTAGCAAAGGGCCCTACTTTTAAAACATGTCATCTCCATGAGTGAAAGGTGCCATCGACCACCCAACCTCAGATGTGAAAGAGATGATGGGATCGTGGTTGTATGACTTCTAATGAATTACCTATCATGAACAGCACTGAAGACACTTGAGAAGTGCTTACTACTATGGCCAATCTGATGGCACAGTATTAATTTAAGATCTTGTTCGACCGTGCATGTTAGTGACCATCAGATTTCAAAGATAGGTTAAAATAGGTCGAAGGGGGTAATCGACCGTCGTGTGGTAAGAAAGGTGAGTATCGGACTATGTGCACGCAACGTATATGAAATGAAAACAATCATATGCATACCGGTTCGTAAACGGTTATAGTAAAGTGATCTTATGAGACTTGATTGTGAGGCAACTCGACAAAACAGTTTATACACCATTCGCACAAAAATAACAGAGTATAAAGGTGACCATAGTGTTGAAAAGTAGCAGAGATCAAGGAAAGAAACACAGCTATGTTCTATGCCCCTGAAGCTTCAAACGATCCGCTTTGAAGCGGGATAGACGTGTAGGAGGATCAACAGCACGGATTGGCAACGAAGAAACGGGTGGCAGTTGATCGGAAGTGGGTCCAGGTGCGTCCACATGCAATTCTATTGCTGTGACTTTTCCCAAACAGACTTGCATGTCAACGGCTTCTGCCAAAGTTAAGGTGGACAAATTCGCTACTTCTGTTCGCACTGGTAAACGAGGACTAGGATCGTGTTGAAAGTAAATGGTTGATGATGAATGTAAGCATGAGTTGAATGTTTCGTCGTCCGAGCTAACGATGGGTTCAGCAGGTATGGCAAAGCTGACCTTTCTACTAAGTAGCTCCGGAGAAGGCAACTGCTTCAGTTCCTCTCTTTCCCGCTGACGGCTCCTTGCATGTTCGATCCTCCATTTACGCTCAGCATCTGAATCATAATCCTCTCTAATTTCGACCTCCTCATTATCAATAAGTGAGGCACAATTGTCTCCAGAGGTAATCCGTTTGGTATGACTGAAGTCAGAAGTATATTGCAGTCGGTCTTCAATCAACCGTTTTTGTTGTTCAAGAGACTTCAAAAGCACATCGATCCTACCGATTCGCCGTCGGATAAGTTGAACAGCTTCGTAAGTGGACATCTCAGCAAAATAATTCGAAGATCCACCAAGGTAAGCCAGAATTTCGTTAGTATGTACAAGATGACCCATGACGAAAGCTTTGGGGCTGAATGGGAGGCATGCGTCCTTCGAAAAAGACTTCTGCAGGTCCTCAAGTTTCGAAATCAGAGACTCATACTCATCTTTGGAAGCCAATAGGTTCTTAATCTCTGAGTCAGTCCGTTCGATGCCGATCCTTTGTTCATCCAGTAAGCGATCAAACTCGGCGTTACTCATAAGAAAGGTTGTAGTGAGTTTGGATGGGACTGCAAAATAAAATATTCGATGTGAAATAAAAAGGGAATGCGTATCAAACAATGTTCTAGAAAAGTACAAAAATATTTCAGCGCTGATATAGCTCTATGAGTAACAGTGAAAATATCGACGCTTAACTGAAATGAAACGTTAATTTCTATGGGATTCCGCTGCGTAATCGTGTCGTCACACTGATTATACACCTCCTCAAAGTGCATTGTCAGCCAAAAATATGAGCAGTCAAAGACACATTAAAAACCATGATGAAACTACCTAAAATACTTGGTAGGGTTGATGTATGCTGTCTTCCTGGATGCGTCTCACAAGGTCAGTCAAATCAACAGGTGAAAAATCATTATGAAAAGATGCAGCCGAGAACTCAATGACGTCCATGCATTCAGTCCGTTAACACAAGCTATCTAACGACTGGACTATCTCATTCATTTTACACCGAAGCATCGTACTTGTCTGGTTCTTTCCTCTCTCTCTCTCTCTCTGAGCACTTCCCCAAGCGCTGCTAGTCTTTCACTCCCATAGCGACGCGGATGTGTCTCAGGTTAGTGCTCGGATCATAGTTGACTGACTGAACAGAATTTCAACCGCGGTGTCCAAACACCGCTTCGCCCATTTTGTGACTGGCAAATGGGGTAGCTGAATATTCAACTCTAATCGAGGCAGCGTTTCCAAAAGTGAATAAAATGCATTTTAAAGAGAGGGTAATGTAAAAACCACCATATTTAGCCTCAAGCTACGTGGATAACCGGAAATAAAATGTCGAATAATCTAATAACAATATTCAACTTGTCCAGGTAAGCGTGTAGGGCAATCTGCCATTCCATATAACACTGATCCCTTCATTAACAGGTACAATTGTCCCTGTGGGATAGGGTCCGTCCGGTATGACTACAGTAAGATGTACATTGTAGCTAGTCTTCAATCAAAAGTTTTGATATTTCGAGGGCTTTAAACAAAAACCCCGGTTATACCAAATCGTAACAAATAAATCGAAAAGCCTTAGTAAAATAACCCTATGTTCAACAAGGCATGACAGATTTTCGTCAGGGTACGCGAAGCATGCACTATGCATGATGAATAATAGCCAAGTGGAGATAACGACCCATGACCTGACACAACAAGGCAATGCAACGTATGGCGCATTACGTGAGGTCAAAAAGGATTCGAATCAGTGAGGTTCCGTTCCAAGAGTTCCCCTTAGCATCCGAAGATCAATTCAAAGCAGTGAATTCAACGAACGAAGGTTAGTAAAACGCAGTCTGTGAAGTTCCTCAGACAGTAACAATGGCGATGAAACTGGGACAAACATACAGTACACCGACTGAGTGATCTCACACAATGAAATTGAGTGGGCTAGGAGGACAACATATAAGAGGCACAAATGAATCGCAAAGCTGACTCTAAATGGTTAGAAGACACCGACGCTCCAACGTCCGCCGCCCTAATGCGGAGCATCCTCATCATCATACACGTTAGCCAGAGATGGGGAACACCTCAGCTACTGTGCCGCAATACACAGAAAAAAGGAGGAAAAATTGAAACTGGTACAAGCCGGCTGAGCTACCGGTAACGGATGGGCATCGTTCCGGTAAGCTACCAGCCGGCTACTGCGCAACAAAAAAATTACTATGCGAAATTATATAAGGCTAAATAATGAGATCGTGGTTGGAGGGGAGGCTAAGAGGGATGGGATGGGACAAAGAAACTCACAGCACGAACGCCACTGAGGTCGGCTCCTAGCCATATCAGCAAGTGTGTCCAACCAAACGTGTTCATCGTCTTTCGGACCCCAACCAGGGAGCCGAGACGCTCCAACCGAGGCCAGCTCAGAAGTGAGGGTCTTCATTCCTCTCGACCAAGTCATCGCTTGGCCACCCCTCCTCTTCTTCCATCCACACCCCGGCGCGCAAACAACGCACGTCGCTGGAGTCGGTGGGCTGGCATGCGTAACACGTGGCCGAGCCATCGGAGCCTGGTGCGTGAAATAACGGTGCTGAGCGGTTCATTTCCTTTTCCTGTGCCGTAAACAAGGCGTCGAACACGCTCGTTGCTCACGCGGTGTTCCCACCAGATGTGAGCTAAATTACGAAGGCACCGGTGGTCGAACGTAACTAGCCTCTTCAAGTCCGCTGCTTTAAGCGGCCAGGTTTCACAACCGTACAGTAGGGTCGAACGTACCGGTGCATTGTACACTCTACCCTTCAGGGCAAGAGTGATGTCGCGCCGGCGCCATAAGTGGCGAAGATTAACAAAAGCGCCCCGAGCTTTTGCTATACGGTTGGTGATCTCATCCTCAATCCCACGGGCGCTGATACAACTTCTCAGGTAGTTGAATTTGTGAACGACTTCTAGCTGATCCCCACCAACGGTCAGCGTAGGAGGCGGTCCAGACCAATCTTGGAGGAACGCTTTGCACTTCGAGGGTGCGAAGCAAAGCCCGAAGTGACGGACAGCTAGTGCTAATCTGTCCAGTGCCGCTTGACACGTTTGTGAGCTGTCACAGATTAGGGCAATATCATCAGCATACTCTAAGTCAAGAAGTCGTTCTCCTGGGAGCAGATCCCCACTAGCTAAGTCGTGTCCTGTGAAGGCGATTTCCATGACTTCGTCAACAGCGAAGTTGAAGAGGAAAGGTGACAGCGGGCATCCTTGTTTCACGCCGCTGGAGATATTAAAGGGCGACGACAACTTGCCGTAAGCCCACACTCTGCCCGAGCTACGCGCATATAATGCTCGGATAATATTTACATACTTCTCAGGTACACCTTTCCTGAGTAGACAGTCCCAAAGTGCATGTCTATCCACCCCCTAATGCGGATGCTGATGCGCAATCGAATCGCATTTAACGACTGCCAGTAACAGAATGGTGACATCAATCGATATTCGCTAGTGCGGGCCTCAAGAGCTAGCAATGATATTATGCGACAGGAGACGAAGTAGAGCTAAAGATGGACTTGCGGAATATCCTTAGATAGATACCGTACCGAAGTAGCACGCCTCTGCATGCGAGAGAGTTGGAAAATAAGTACAGCTCAGTTGTTTAAATATGAACTGATTTAGTTACCCTACACAGTGCTACCATGAAAACAAACATAGGGACTAAGGAAAAGGCATGAACATTTACTAACTCAGTCGACCAGCAAAGATCCGGGTGGATTCGTGTGACGGATACTGTTGCAACGAATAGTATTGCTACAGGAATACCTAGTGGCCGGGTAAAACAAACAAAGATTAAAAGGAATAAGTGCTGAACAGGAAAGTCCACCGAACAAGCAAATAAGGACACTAGCGGTTACACGAATGAGTCAAGTCGGACAGTGCATGTGACAAATGATCCTGCCGATTCCACTGGTCCCATCCAAAACAACAACAACAACAACAGTTCCGAGAACAAATGTTTTCGGTTAATTTGTTGCCTCCAGCACATGGTTTGATTACGCTGCGACAGCACTTGGGAAGGTACAGCAACGACATACAGTTTTTGAAGTAAAAGCCAATTAAAAAACGAGCGAACATGTGACCTCACAAGCAGTAGTACGGGCTCTGTTGCCGGAAACTAGCTAGTGAGTTTTTATGTTGCTTTATCACCGGCAAAAGCGATACTGTGATAATGCCTCGAAAGGTGGTGCTAACTCCTGTGATCCACATGGCAACCATGATCACACGGCAGCGTTGTATACTCTGCCTAAAATTGATATCAGTATCACGCAGTAGGTCACACAGCCCGTTACAATGAGGCTGGAACTAGACATGGTATGCTGTTTTGCGTGCATTACTGGTCACTAAATTGTACCGAATAGCTTTTTACACCTTTGGGGCCACTCATACCAGACTGGTCAGCGGTTAGGGGCCAAGCAAGCTCACCTCCGGGTCCCTAGGAAGGGGAATGAATGAGAGTGACCTACAATTCCTAAAGCAATTCCTTGTAGCTTACTGTCATGTGCCTGAGCCAAAAGCTTAGAGTAAAGGGCAGTCAACATTAGCCTACCTTGTCAGTAGTACCCAGACATCAGCATCGGGAAGGTGCGAGATTGCAGACGGATGCAAAGTTGACATAAGGCAGATTGACACGTTTCGTTAAACGAACGCGGTGTCACTGTTCAGAAACCATGCCGCTGGCGGAGTACTGGACTGTTCAACTCGCAAATAATTCGAAGACACAGGGGATGTGTGCGCTCACTGCTAGATCTCTCCCCAATTACTCACGCTGCAGTCTGTAACTGATTGGATGAATGTTTATCTAGTTGATGATACAGAAGGCGAACTGCGCACAGACCTAGAGTAGGTACCAAGATAAATCTGAGAACCCCATCGTTCACCCATCCAGGCCATGGAACCTGAGTCTACCCTGCCCATACAAAAGCTCCAAATAATTTATGATGCTCTGGCCGTCGCAAAGGACAATCAACAACATCCTATCAACTGCATCGAACAGGTTGGGGAAGGGTAAATTACTAACGTTCAGACCTTGCCATCTACCTATCCTAACTCTTTCTTTAGTTCATCTCTATCGTCCGGTCACAATTTCAATCCTCCACTTCTTTGAAATCCGCATCTTACCTTGATAACATTTGTCCTCTAGCATCAACACACACACAATCCTGGAGCGTCGTCAAGTCCATCACCAACCAAACGCACAACCTAAGTTCATCCGCTTCTAGTTGGAGCCCTCGATCCTCGTAAGACTGACATGTCTCAATGTGCACACTTCGTAGCAGATCGATATACAAGCAGCGCTTGTCCGAACGTTAGTAACTCTATCGATCGATATATGCCGTTCATCGGAAACCCGCCTGCAAGATACGAGTTCTGCAATCACTCTACGATTACCTTTAAATGACAGTGGCAAAAATTTCTTATCGCACTTATACAGGGATAACACAACTTCAAATTCCAGTTAAATCGTTGTGGATATTGCTCCGAGCCCCCGGGCTGAAGCCGCTATGATCCATTGGATGTGTGCCATCAGAATGGCTGGCTTCTTCAAAGTCGCGTCCGCAG